TTCTTTCTTTCTTTCTTTCTTTCTTTCTTTCTTTCTTTCTTTCTTTCCTTCCTTCCTTCCTTCCTTCCTTCCTTCCTTCCTTCCTTCCTTCTTTCTTTCTTTCTTTCTTTCTTTTTATTGTGCTTTTTCACTTTTACATATCTCAAATTTATTTTTTTATTTTATTAGGTTTGTCAATTGCTTACAAGATAATAGGTATAAGTAAAACATAGTTATGAATACATGGATACATATAAGAAAAATAAAAGAAACAATAGGACAGGGACGGTAGGCACGCTGGTGCGCTTATGCATGCCCCCTACAGACCTCTTAGGAAAGGGGTGAGGTCAATAGTAGAAAGTCTAAGGTTAAAGTTTTTGGGGTTTGGGGAAGAAACCACAGAGTCAGGTAGAGTATTCCAGACATTGACCACTCTCTTGCTGAAGTCGTAATTCCTGCAATCAAGTTTGGTGCGATTAACCTTGAGTTTGTATCTATTGTTTGCTCTTGTATTGTTATGGTTGAAGCTGAAATATTCATTGACAGGTAGGACATTGCAATGTATAATTTTATATACTAAGATCGGACCAAAGGCGGTGTAGTTCTGGTTTTCTAGGTCTAGAATTTCAAGTCTGGTGGCCTAAGGCAGGGGTCCCCAACCGCCGGTCCGCGGACCGGTACCGGGCCGCGGAACAAGCCTTACCGGGCCGCTGGTTGCTGGGCGCCGCCATCTTTTTTTTGGTAAAAAAGCGCTTCTGGTGAGCTTTTCCGGGTAGAAAGCTCACCGGAAGCGCTGTTTCGTCATAAAAAGATGGCGGCGCCAGCGCTTCCGGTGAGCTTTTCCGGGTAGAAAGCTCACCGGAAGCGCCTTTTCGTCATAAAAAGATGGCGGCGCCCAGTTGACGCCGGTACCGGGCCGCGGCGCCCAGCTGATGTCGGAACCGGGCCGCGGCGTCGAAAAGGTTGGGGATCCCTGGCCTAAGGTATTCTGCAACGAGTAGAGGAGTGGAGAACTCTTCTTGTGAAATATTTCTGGACTTTCTCAATTGTGCTAATATCAGATACGTAATGTGGGTTCCAGACTGATGAACTGTATTCGAGTATTGGTCTAGCAAATGTTTTGTATGCTCTGGTTAGTAGTGTGATATTACCAGAGAAAAAGCTACGTAGGATTAGGTTAACAACTCTTAATGCCTTTTTGGCTATGTAGTTGCAGTGGGCTCTCGCACTTAGATCATTAGAGATGAGTACTCCAAGATCCTTGACAGGGTTTGGGTCATCAGCAAGGTCTTGACTATTCAGCCTGTATTTTATTTTCTGATTTTTTTTGCCAATATGTAAGACAGAGCATTTATTTGTTGAGATTTGAAGTTGCCATTTGTTTGACTATTTTGATACATAATCGAGGTCTTTTTGAAGGGTAGCACTATTGTCCGTGGTATTGAATAGCTTTACATCGTCAGCGAAGAGAACGCAGTTGCTCTTAATATGATCACAGAGGTCATTTATGTAGAGTATGAAGAGAGTTGGTCCTAACCAAAGGAAAGAAGATCTTTGGAGAGAACTGGTTCGGTATCAGCTGCTCTTCGGAGCTACCAGTTCTGTAGAACCGGGCCGAACCAGTAGAATCCCACCCCTGGTTCAGCCCTTGAGGTTGTTATCCATAACTGAAATTGTTAATGTTTCCCTCAGTTATTTCTTCTGAACTGTTTTACATATGTTAAATGAATATGAGGGTAATATACAATTGTAGTGTTCTCTTTTCCAAGTTTTGAACCATTTATTTTCTCCATTATTCTGTTTTATATAGAGAGCCAGTTTGCTTTAAGGCACCAGGCTAGAAACCAGGGGATTCTGAATTCTAGTCCGACCTTTGGCATGAAAGCTGATTTGGCATCTTTGGACCAATCACACACTCTTACTCCATGACATCAGGTTTGGGCGACAAGCTGATTGGTTAATTTCTGTCGCAACCAATGGATCAACATTCAGTTGATCTGAAAAAAAAGCAGACCCTGCATGTGTGAATGCCAACTGCAACCTTCCCAGCCAGCTTTCCACAAGCAAAGTCAATAGGGCAGGGGTGTCAAACTTAAGGCCGCGGGATGCTTAGATCTGGCCTGTGGGACCACCCTGGAAACAGAAAAGGACCGGCCCCCTGTGCCTCTGCCAGCGAAAATGGAGCTCCGTTTCACAGCAGAAGGTGGCAGGAAGATGTCACAGCCGAAAATGGAGCTCGGGAGCCCATTTTCTCTGGCAGAGCACTCGGGCCACCACAGGCAACCCCGACACAAGTGACATACAGCTGGCTAAGCCCATGTTGGCCACGGCCACCCTACCCCCCCCCCCCCCGAGTGACCTGATGTGGCCCTCAATGAAATCAAGTTTGAACCCCTGCAATAGGGGATACCAGATTTTCTTAACAATGGCATGATTCACTTAACAACCATGGGGGCGGGATTGTAAAATTAGGTGCAGTTTACTTTACACCCACCTTGCTTAGCAACAGAACTTCTGGTCCCAACGATGGTTGTAATTCAAGGACTCCCTATAATGCTCAACTTTATATACGTTTCCTATTCCTTTAAATTTATTCAAGAAATCTTTTCTTCTTCCCTTTTGACTGTTATCTGACTCTTCTTGTATGTTTTTTAATGGAAATCAGTGTTCAGTTGGATGCATTTTCCGCCGTCACTCTTTGTCTTTTCCTTCAATGTGCAGTAGTTTCAGTGTAAAAGGTGGCCAACCATTTACATATTTCTGTGGCCTTGTCTACATCTGTAGTATAAGCTGTATGTAATGTGTGGGAAATACCACTAGATGTCAGGTTGGAATGCCAATATTTTCCTTGTGGATACAAAGTCAGGGCAGGACATTGAAAACATTGTTTTAAATCCAATTGTCACTGCATCTGAATCTTGTCTATCCTGGTCAGAAAGGTGCAATTATTTTTAATACACCCCATTTCATCAAGAATGCACATCTGATATTATTTGTTCCTGGCTACCATTTTATTTAACTTCATTTTGATTCTGTATTCTGGCTTTATTGTGTAAATATGGTAAGACACTTTATTGTACATATTCTGTAAGACCAGTTGGTTACAAGTTGTCAGATAAATTGGATTGATGGATGAATTGGTGGATGAATTGATGGATCTTTTTTTCATTGACCTCGCATGAACCCTGTTCCATATTATGTTTTGGAAAAAAAGAAAGCTGAAATTTTTCAAACTAGCAAATATGTTCCTCGTAAGCCTTCATGGGAAATTATCAGGTATTCTCTGCTTGTTATGTAGGAATTATGTCATTAAAGCAAAAATAATATTGCAAGTGTTTGTAGCTCAGGGTTGACATGATGGGTCTTTGGTGGTCTCTAAGCTTGTTTGTTTTCTTGCAGACATTTCATTACCCAAACTAGGTAACATCATCAGTGCTAGTAAGGAGTGCAGCAAATCTGACAGCAAACTGCACTTCTTACTAGCACTGATGATGTTACCTAGTTTGGGCAATGAAATGTCTGCAGGAAAACTAGTATTGATCCTCCACTCTGGGGAAAAAATACCTTTTCATTTCTGTTCAGGAATATTAGAAGAGTATCTCTTCTATAAATAGTTCGGTACTTTCGTCATTTTTTTAAAAAAAGTGGTCAGGGTAAGCAATTAGCATCCAGACATCAGAGAAGTGGTTGGTTGACTAAACCTGTTCTGGATTTTATTTTAACTGTGACATTGTCTGTTTCTAATTTGTGGTTGCTGATAGTTACAGCAGGTGTTGATTAACATCAGACTTTGACAGTATATTTGGTTGTGTGTCTTAGGGTTTTTCTTAATATGGAATAGAACACTGACACACAGACAATATTTTTTCTCTTAGTACGATTTTATCATACAAAATACTGTATAAATCTTAGTCTATTATCGGTTTTCTATTTCTATTCTTATTTCATCTATAAAGTATTCTTATATTCTATTTCTATGTTCTATTCCCGTTTACATAACCTTATGCTTTTTAAAAATCTTAAGTACAGTATTTGTTAGTTCTTTGTATTGTAAATATTCCCCCTTTCCTCGGGTTTAGGTGGGAGTGCTGAGAGAATGGTCCACTGAATAGGGCTTCTTACTGAATTTGTGGCAACAATCAAATCTTATCATTATGATGGTCATAGACCAGTATAAGGAGAGCAAGGTATAGTCAAGTTAAAAAGCATAGAAAATACATCAGTCTAAAGAAATAGGAAAAACTGGAAAGTATAAAAGATATATGCTGTATATATGCACACGCACACACACACACACACACACAAGTCTAAAAATTTAAAAGAGCTAGGAGCATTACAAGGGTCTAGGGCAGGGGTCTGCAACCTGCGGCTCTGGAGCCACATGTGGCTCTTTCTGCTGATCCCACCACTAGGCTGATCCCACCACTGGCTGGCCCCTCCCCTCCCCGTCACTCCTTGCCTGGCCTCAGAAGTTAAAGGTAATGGCGGGGGATGGAGACTTGCTCCATATTCCAGAGCTGGAGGTGGCTGGGTTGGGAGTAAGTGACTTCGAGATGGCCACACCCACCCAGTCATACCAGTTGTTAAAATTATTGGTTCCCGGTGTTTTCTTTTCTATGGGAACCTGGCCCAGATGGATCTTTCGAGTGTTTAAGATTGCAGATCCCTGATCTAAGGGAGCCCAAAATGTAGTAGGCGGAAGACTATGGAATTATTGGCAACAATGGGATTTGAACCAGATGTGTAGTTCAGTCCAACACATAGTA